CTGTAATTCTGCTAATTCTTTGACTTTGCAGTCTTTGTTTTTCCTTTTTTGGGGGCCTTGTCTCAGCTTGAAGGGGTCTTTGTGTAGAGAAGCTGAGGCTGTGTCATGTGCCTCTGGCTTATTTATAGATCCTCGTCCACAAACTGAGGAAAGCCGGTTTAAGGTCAGGAGTTTTTGAGGAACACAGATGGTTGGTTTTACGTCCCTCGGGGATTAATAGATGCTCGGCTGGAACTTTAAAAGCAGCCGGACTTTAAAGATCCCATTCGGTTTTTACTTGCTAGTAACATTTGGACAATCCAAGAGGTGAATTACAGTAACTAGCACATAAAACCGAATGCCTTGAAGAGCCTTTTTCGACTTTTTCACACCAACTGGAACTTCTGAAAATGTCCAGCTTCCTGTTTTGTTCAGAGAAAAATGGAGTGTATGTGTCTTTGAGCTCTCAATCAAGTCCAGGCAGAAGATTCAGAACGTGATGAGGAACGTTTTAGTTGAGCTTTTCCTAAATCACGGATGGAGAACGCGAGAGTCTCGATTCAATTTTGCCCAAAAGAAAAATAGAATAGAAAGAGAAATAAATCCCCAGAAGAAGGGAATGTGAGCTGGAATGAGAAGCCCAGTCTAGTGTTTGGTAGTCTGAGCTCTCAGAGCTGGATAAGAAGGAGGCCTTGAGGTCCAGAGGGGAGTCCAGGAGACGACCCCGGCTCTAAATGATCCCTCTGAAAGGAGGTAGAAATATTAAAAAACACAACAAGCTTGTTCCGACCAAACCTGCCACACGGTGTTAAAAAACTCCAAATGAATGACCTCAACTCTTTTTTTAAAGATCATTTAGACATGTTTGAATAAATTATATACGCGAAAAGATAATAAGAAACTACATTTAACCAAACAAAAAAAAAGGGGGGGGGTGGTGTTATACCTCCATGGGCAAAAATGTGACATATAATTAATCCGGTGTTTCCGGTGGGTCCTTCTAAGTCCATCTGTCAGGAAACCAAGGATGGATATCCAACTCCGCCCACATCCAAGTCGGCCATTTTGATTAGGTCATGTGACTAGCAGCTTTCTGAGGTGGAAACAAAACTTTACTGTTTATACGAAATCAGAAGACAAACGATGTCCTAACCCTAACCCTAACCCTGACCGTAACCCTAACCCTAACCGTAACCCTAACTGTAACCCCAACCTTAACCCTAATCCTAACCCTAATTTAACCCTCCATTCTTCATAATTGAGAAATAAATGTTTTTTGGTTAAATTTGTTTGGACTTATTCTACAAACCTATTTAACATCCACTATTTTAACATGATATTATGTACAGTTTAATTCAGTGTTTGCAAGATTAATTTCACTATTTTTAAATGAATGTCTATATTACCATGAAGCAATTATGATTTTCTTGCCTGGGATCTTCCTATTGGTGACCTAATCAAAATGGCCGACTTGGATGTGAGAGGATTTGGATATCCATCCTTGGCTTCCTGCTGTCTGCAGCCAGACGGACTTGAGACATCAGTCTACATTAAGAGACATTTAGGCAGGAACCTTATTTATTATTGATTATGGCGTCCTGAACAAATGCTGAATGGAACTCGTTCCTACAGAGGAACAGCTCACAGTTCACCAACGACTATACTACGCATCCTCTAGTTTCTTTCCAATAAAATACATTTATACCCAACGTCTGCATTAGAGTGTTTGCACTTTTATGCCAATTATGTATTTTAAGTTCAATTTAGCTGGAATCAACCTGAATTTTGATGCTCGGGGTTGGATCCCGCCCACAGATGTTAATCGTGGATTTGATTGACAGTTACCATTACAGGAGCCACGGACTGAGGTTTTGGTTTGACTAATTCATTAAAAATAAATTGTCAGACTTTTACTTTTTTGTATTTGTTCATTAATTACAAGCCTAAATCTCACATTCCCCATGATGATTGAGAGAAGAAATGGTGAAGCTTTTAGAAACCGTCTTCCTCTTTGTTTTAGAAGTTCTGGGTCTTTAATCTTTGTGGGAAGATATAATAACAAAAGGAGTAAAACCCCTTTTTTTCCAGTGATTTGTGACAAGAAGCTTTTTCAAAAAGAAGACGTTAAGTTAAAAGTGGCCTCGAAACACACAAAGGACAAGTCATCATTTTTTAAAATGTAATGCGTCTTCATTTCTCTAAAACCCAGTTACATTGAAAAAAAAAAAAAGGTTTTAACAACTGAGTGGAGAAGAACTCCAAGTCACTGTAAAAAAAAAAAAAAAGCAGTGACTTGACAAAGATGGGACAGGAACAGCTGATAATGAAAAGGAAACAAACTGTCTCTGAAGGCTTTGAGCAGAAGTGGCTGGAACAGGCAGAACTGTGCTAACGCGAGACGTTATGTCCAGATATAATAACACTCAGAACCACCACGGCTAAACAATAAGGCCGCACGTTTGGTTGTTAAATGAGTCGAGGTGGCAGAATAAGAAGCATATTGAGTCACTGAATCGGTATAACTGAAGCATAGACGCTTTTCTGTGTAAAATTAGCTGGTAACTGTTCATTTGTTGACCTATTTCCCAAACAATTAACAGGAGTCAATGAGTAGATGAGTGCTCGAGGGGGATTGCTCTATTCAGAGTCAGTTTGAGGGCTCAGAAGAGCCCCTTTAATGAGGAGAGAACCCAGTTTCCAGTCGAATGTTTGCGTTTCTGGAACTCTGCTGCCACCTAGCGGCTGAATGGAGGAACGACAACTTGGTACAATTAAAACTGTTGTTTTTTAATTGTTGACTTTCCATTTAAGGTGGAGACAAACCCTTTTCTGCTGTTTTAAGGTAGTCGATTAGAGGTTTTACTAGTTTTTTTTGTAAAATCCAGAATATGAACATTTGAAAGAAAATCTAATACTATTGGTTAAAACATCCAGGAGAGAGCTGGTTTGATGTGTGGAAACAATAAGCTTCAACATTTCAGCCTCTTTGTCCTCAGTTTTCATTAGTAATATGTTTTTCCTGGCAACACTCAATAAACACCACAAAAACGTATCATCATTTTTATTTTGCCATTTTTTTTTTTTACAAATGAATGCTTGATTTAGTCCCACAAAAGACAACAAATATATATAAAAAGGACTGAAATGAATGAAAACTGCTTAAACAAGATATAAAAAAACTGAACACTTTGAAAACCTTTCAAATAAGGAACCCCCCCTACATTTACTCTGTTTCTCTACTACAGCAGGAAACTACAACGGGACATTTAGTCTGGGAGAGTCAGGAGCAAAAACAGCAACTGAACTGAAACTGAGCCTCTTTAACAGCTTTTCTGAGTGAAATTAAATCAAATATCCACCGTGGCCTGATTTCACCACAGTTCTGGCCAGAGGAAAGTTCTCTGATTCCAAGCTGTGGCTCCTTTTATTGCCAAACATAATTTTTTACCACCGTCAGACTCAATAAAGAAGCAAGGGGTTGTGCGGCTGATTTAGACTCAGGTGTTCAGCTTTAGGGGGGCGTTGCGTTTCCCTCCCAGCTGCTCCCCGGCGGGCGGGGTTAGCCCACTCGGAGAGGCGGGGCCACCAGGACAACGCCGTCCCCCCGTACGAAGAGCATGGGGATGTTCCTCTTGGTGGACTGGAGGGGGGAAAAAAAAGAGGAAAACCTTTCTTAGAATACATTAAACAGGACAATGAGGGAAGAAGAGCTAAGGGTGAGAATAAACCATTCCCCCTAAATCCTTACTGCCTGATACAGTGCCAGAAGCCTGAGCTTTGAGGAGTAGATATTAAGACTGGCCCCAAAACTTTGCAAGACAACAGTGTTGAGCTCGACAGTTCAAACCCCATCGGAGTCAGTTAGAACCAGCAAACGGTGCAAGTCGGGGAGTAAATCAGGACCAAAAACAACACCTCTGGAATTTTTCATTAACTTAGAAACTTATTTCAACACTTGAGTGTTTTCCATTAACTACCATTTAGTAATAAAAGCCTCTCCTGGGTCCATTTCCTGGGTTTGCCATTCTAAGAATGTAGGATAATTTAAAAAACAGAGTGATTTATTAGCATTGAAAGGCATAAGAGGGTGTTTGCCTGGTTTAAACTGTAATTTATAGTTTTAAAAGCTAGTTTTAAAAAACATTTACAGCTTACCTTTAATGCAGCACAATGAGGACAACCAAAGGCACAAAGACTCACAAGTCACCACATTAAAAAAATGCATTTTGATCAATAAAAACAGGGGGAAAGAAACTGTGCCGTACCTTGTAAAGTTCTTCGTAGGTCTCCTCGTCGATTTCCACTGTGGTCACCGTTTCCTCCACATCACCCAGGATCATGTTGAGGTGCTGATCGTACGCCTGAGAACACAAGACGCACAAACACCCACAAAGGTTTAAAACGCACTGAATAAACCCCAACAGAAGGGACTATACATTGTAAATATTTATATGTATAGACATGTATATGCTGTTGTTTTATTTCTGGAGGTAGTAACAAAAATAATTTCCCTCTGGGATTATCAAAGTATCTCTGATTCTGATTAAAAAGCCAAAGAAACTCTGAAGAGCTGCCACTTTAAACAGCAACAATAAATAATAAATAAACAGTAACAAAAAATGTTTTGAATCATTTTAAAAGTATTTCTGATTGTGATTCTGGCTATTTGGAAGCGGGCGGCAGCTCACATGCAGCCGGCCGCGGAGCTCCCGGTCGTTCCTCATCTTGACGTAGATCCGCTCGTCCAGACTGAGTCTGATCAGGTCGAGGGGCTCCTCGACTGTGTTGGTGGTCGGGGGCTGTAGGAGAAACATGAGAAGAAATCAGAAACATGAGGACTCGCCTGTCTTCAAACACGTTTTCTCTCTAATTCATGCCCAAGAGGTCGAGATATTCCTTAGATCCATTTGAGCCTTATATACATAACACAGAAGCACATTATGGAGACAGTTTCTTTTGATATTTTCTTTAAGAATATTTCAAATATTTGTCATTGTGCAGCTGATTATGGACTTTATGTGACACACTTTGAAAAAAGTTAAGAAATACTCTATATTTGACTCATTTTCTAAACAGTATAAATACAAAGCAAAAAAGCCAAAAATATTTCAATGCTTAAGGCATAAAATGATCATTTTTCATAATCTTATTAGACAAAAAAACAAAAAAAAGATTTATTTGAGACCAGAGTATAAATACTGATGCATATCTGACAAATAGAAATCCCAGGAACATCTTATTTTTTTAACAGGTGCATCCTACCTAATTGTCCTGTTTTTTTTCTCTTTAATTCAGTTAACAAACTTGTTGTTGTTTTTTCAGTGTGCAGACTATTAGGAGAAAAAAAAGCTAAAATCAGCCTTCAATTAAGTCAATTAAATCTTCAAGTAAGAACAGGCTGCTTAATCGAGCCTTTAAGTTGCTATTTTGAGATATTCTGCATCAGTGAGGGGGGAAACTGAGCTAACAAACAACAGAATTAACCATAAAACAAGAAATCAGTTAATTGTTGACATGCAGCAATATTACACGGGGATCTTTTAGGAAAGAAAAATAACTCCCCGTCTTACTATTTGCAGACAAAGTATTTGGTGGTATCTAAAATAGCAAGTCAGTGAACCGGTAATCTAGGGCGTGTGTATTTCAGTTTTAGAGTCTATTTTTAGGATAAAAATCCATAGAAGAACACGCCTAATCAAACACGTTATTTTTAACGGTAGCATTGGAAGCTAACCAGGCTAAACCGGCTAGCAGGTCTAACAGGCCCAAACGGTCCACTGACACAATTATAAGCCACAAAACCAAACGTTAGGCTGTTATAATCAAGGGAAAATATATAGATATCTATATTTCTGCATAAATACATTTACATCAACCCTGAGATGGAATTAAAAGGATATTTGAATGGGGTTAGGCAGACCTGTTCAACTTCGTCCGCCATGATTTTAGAGTCGCGCGCAGGAGATTGACGTCACGACAGTTGCCAGATCCGTAAAAAAACGCTTCAAGGTTGGGGCGAACTTGCCCCATTTTTTTTCAGCCGACTGAGCGTTTTTTTCTTTTTACTCCAAAGAACCCGTCAGCACAAATAAAAAATCGTTACGATTTTACCTATAATAATGTGCGAGCGATTTTTTAAAATCCTGACATAAAAAAACAAATCATCATCACCCACTTACTACTGAAAATTTGATAAATATAAGTTCTTATTTGCATATTTGATTGGCTTATGGTAACATTTTATTTAGTCTACTAATGAGATTAGTTGAATTCGTCTGAAACCATGTTCTGCCCCCTGACGTTCATTTTCCGTTCAGCGTGTGCAAACCTGGCAACCTCGATGACAATAAGCTGCGCGCTCTCCTCCTCGCGCTCCATCTTTCCAGACTTTTCTGTCCTCCACGTCCACGTAGCAGCGCCTCGACCTGTCCGAGGGCACGACGGCGTCCTTCAAATTGAGTTATTTGACTTTAATGTTCGTTTTTATACTTCTTTAAGAATAGACTGGCTCTGAGCGACTCTAAATCCAGACCCAAACCCACTGGTAAGCCTCTGAGTATCATAATGGGTCAGACAACTGATGATATTGTTAAAAATAGTAAGTGAGGAGTATTAAAAAAAACGCATGTAGCTGAATATGACCGTGCAACTGCGATTTAATATTTTTAGAAGTAAGAAGAATTAATAGTTGGTTAATTTCTAATGTGCTTTTAAGGTTAACTTTCCTATATTGTCCTCAAAGATGGAGGAACCACCTGTGTGGGTTGTAAGAAAGACTTTTGAAGTGGAAGGCTCCTGTTTTTCCTTAAATATTTCCCTCAAATAGAAACAGCCAAACCTGTTACCTACGGTGGGGGAAATAAGTATTTGACCCCTTGCTGCTTTTGCAGGTTTGCCCACTTACAAAGAATGCTTATTTTTCCTCATCAGATGGTTATCAATTTTTATAAATTCATATGATGTGATTTTCTGGAATTTTCTTTGGGATTCTGTCTTTCACTGTTAGAATGTACATATGATTAACGTTATAGATCGTTGCATTCTTTGTAAGTGGGCAAACCTGCAAAATCAGCAAGGGGTCAAATACTTATTTCCCCCACTGTACCCTTAATGTTAACTACTACTGTTTGACTCTGTTGTGTCTTTTTTTTTGCGCGTAGCTGCACGTGTCACAGTCATTTGTGTGTGTTTGTGTGCGTTTTTATGCCTCCTCCGGACTCAGTGCGGTCCAGTGCTCCATACTGGGTTGGTCAGCAGGCTGGGGAGGCAGATCAGAGGCAGTGGTGTTACCCATTCCACCCCCAGCCCCAGCATGGCTGTGCGGTGGAAGAGATCCCTGCCACAGGCGGCCGCCCGCCACCATGTCCAGTTTTCACGTGTGCTCGTTTAGCAGGTGACGAAGGATGAATGCTGTCTTTTTGTGTGTGATCGACAGGGTCCAGAGGCTGGAGGACGAAAGGAGGAGCAGAGCCAGAGGAGGACGGAGGCCGAAGTCAGACTGTTACTGTGTTAACACAGAATGCCCCCCTCACCTGGTCAGGTATTTTAATGGAAAAGACATAGTAAGTAAGTTTTTAGTTCATAACACAAAAGGCATCAAATCAGTTCAATTGAATGAATTTATATCGTGCCAAATCACAACAATAGTTATCTTACAGCTTTCCAAACAGAGCAGGTCAGACTGGACTCTGAAGTTATTTACAGAAGAACAACATTTCCCATCAAGAGCAAGCATTAGGGGACAAAAATCAGTTTTTCTTTGTTCCTAAAGCACTTTTCATACAAAAAGAATTGCTACACAAAGTTCATTTTGCCCCCCAATTTTTTTTTCCTAACGGAAAACTGAGCCGGTGTTTTAAAACCTATTCTAAACATTTCTATTTTCTCATTTAGCAGAAATGAAAACTTAAAATAAGGGTCATTTGAAATTAAATGACCCTATTTAATGATCTTTGACATCATATAAACAGATTCTTTATCATTGAGGAGCTGTTGTCTGAGGCTAATCATCAAATCATGCAAACTGAGATCAATTAATTAGACTAACAAGACATGAATGTACCTTAAATATAAATGTAAATAATAGACATTAAAAAAAAAAATTTTTGCTTTTGAAATGGTAGAATAAGTTAAATTCTTCAGTTAAACACGCCCACAAAAGGGGGGCGGGGCTCGTAATTGGCCTTTTTCTTATTTTAAATATATATATATATTTAAATGTATTGTCACAGATCTACTTTTTTGCTGTTTGACAGCAGTGAACATGGGCAAAAAAAATCAAATACAAATAAAAAGGAACATAAATAAGGACAAGCCAGAATGATTTAGTTCAAATGGGTCAGTTTTTAATCAAATAAGTAGATTTGTGCACAATCTACAAGGTTGCAATTGAGGAATAACATAAAATGTCCCTCTATTCATTTTTAGCACACAAATTTATTGTCACGACCTCCTGATTCTAGTTTCTGTTTCTGTCTCGGCTCAGCTGCTGTGAGAAACAAAGAAACAAATCAAAGAAGCAAGGAAACTATTTTAAGACCGGATTAACAGCAGGACCCTGAATAATTAAAGAAACGACTGACAGGCTGATAAATGTTCCAGAAGTGGAAGTTTATCCGTGAAATGAACAGTATTCACAGGCTCTGCAACAAAATGCAAATAATTAATGCTAAACGTGGGAGATCACACACTACAATACAGCTTCGAGCAGGATAGAAATGTCTGCTGATGCCACATCCATCATTTATTCAAAGTTTTCAGGGATGACTTGCTCTAAAAAGAATGATTGGCTTTTAATTAGTAAATCTCAGCCAGGTTCCAAAAGAAGTGAATAAAGGAACAAGCACGAAACTTAAGTCTGTGCAAAGTGACGCCAAAATGTTTTTGGAGGATTATTATTTTTAAAGCAGTGCTTTATAAAAAAAAAAGAAAAAAAGCTTGCTTTCTGATCAGAGTGCAGTTCCGTTTGACACCACACGAGGGCAGCGTTAGACCACTCAATTAATTTCTGAGCAGTTTGTGTTTGCAGCAGATTTTTAAAGGTTTAACATGGAGGCAGAACCCTTTTTGTATTTTTTGTATTTATTTTTTTTACAGAAAAGGACCAGATCAGACGTCACTAACCTTAGGTAGCTTTTCTCTTCCTTCAACCCCCCCCCCCCCAACTCGTTTTTCGTCCTTGCTCATAATGCATTTAACCTACATGAAGGTCCACTCTTCTCCTGCCAGACTCCTGATATTCTAATTGTTTATTTTAAGTTGCCGTCTTCAATTCTCTTGTATCCTCGTGAGTGGCTTTGATTGAAGGCGTCGGCTGAATGCAGAAGTGCTTCATTTAGTTTAAACATAGACGCAAACGTCATTGGGTCTGACAGAGGTTGCGGGTTACCTCTGACCCAGTTACAGATCCATTATTGATTTCCTGTGCAATGGGAAAAAAATTAGGCATGACTCTTTTTAATTATTTAGCATGCGTCTAAATTGATTAAGCAGCAATAGGCTCAAACACTCGCGTGATACATAAGAAGTAAGCCCACAGTCTATTAAAGGAGACATATTATAACCTATTTCAACAAGTTAAACTAGTTCCCTGGTGTCCTAATGTAATGTCTGTGACAAGCTTTGGTCAAAATCCCATAAGGATGAAGCCCAATAGCAGTTCAGTCCCCCTGCCAAAACAGCCCCGTTCAGAGCGCTCGCTTTGGAGTGCCTGTCTCTTTAAATGCAAATGAGACACAGGCAATCCACCCACTTCTTCAGGGAGGTGTGCCCACGTCGGCACGCTAACGCTACCATGCTAATGCTACCATGATAATGCTACCATGCTAACGCTACCATGCTAACGCTACCATGTTAACGCTCACGCTACCACGACGTCTGCCACAGATAGGGGAGTAAGCTGAGGGGGGGGGCAACATGCAGGTGAAAGGCTGGAATATTATAATGAGCTAGAGCTAATGACGTCAGAAACTACCCACTCCTGAAACCTCCTGATTTATCTCCTGGATTCAGACTGAGGCGGCCCACAAAAACATTACTTTTTCACACTTTTCCTGCTGATATGCCCTCCACAGTCCCAAATGTACATAATCAAATGATTAAAAACTTGGTTTTGCATAATATGTCCCCTTTAAAGTCAGGCATCGTTTAAAGGTGCAAAAGCAGCCGCTGCTCATCCGCATTGTTTCATTAAAGATTAGTCACACTGACGCGTTCGCACACACGACACCTCTTCTCCGTCTGAAGACAAACGCAGGAGGATAAATCAAATCCGCCACCGGCTCCGCGGCTCCCAGACGCTCGCGTCTCTCACTTGCATGGACTTTAATGTTTTCGGTGACTCAGACGGTAAAATCGCTCAGATTAAAGGACATCTCATGAATCATGACTCAGAATAGATTTAGCTTTTGGCATCGCATCCCCAACCTCAAGATTCATGTGCATTAAAAAAATCCCTTAAATGTTTGTGGAACTCATTTCCTTTTCAATTGTTTCTGGTGCATAAATGTTTTCAAAGAACACTAAACCTTGAGTCGTCCGTGGTTGGGAGGTCATTGTAAAGGTTTACCTCACACAGATTTGAAAATCTGACAAAATGATTGATGGGACATAATTAAACATGCCTCTTTTTAAAGGACGTCAGGTCACTCGTACCTGTGCTCAGCAGCTTCTCCTTCAAGTCGCTCCGGGGCAAAAAGGGGAATGAAGTGTAGGGAACCGTGCACAGTAGGTGGATGTGGACACATCTGTGCAGCCTCTGGACTCAGGACTAGCATTGCATCCAATGAGAAACTGCATCTTATCTTAAATTTAGTCAACTTGACACTTTCTTAACTTAAAAGATCAAAATTGTCATAATCATTATGTCAAATTTGTCACTGTAATAATGTCAAATTTGGCATAATCATAATGCCGAAGCAGTAATTTGAGGGGAAAAGGTCATTGTTTTTCAACTGTACACAGCTAAAAATCTAAAAACCACATATCCTAATCCTATCCTAATCCTAACCCGTACC